TCTTGTCATTGGCTTTTAATAATTTTATTATAACATGTGTTGGCATATATCTATCTGTTATTATTTTATTTGAAACTCTTTGAGACTCTTGGATCAGATTGTATTGTTCATTTCTTAGGTTGAGGCAATATTAAGCAATAAATTCTTAAAATAAGTTTTCTCTGCCCTTTTCTATCTGGGACACCCATGATACAGGTTTTATTTTTCCTAAGTAATCCCAAACAGTTCTTAGACTATTTTCATTGATTTTGCTTTTTTCTTTTTTGTTCCATTCATTTGCATGTTCCATTCATCATACTTTCAAGCTCACTAATTCTCTCCATTGCTTGAGTTTGTCTGCTGTTGAAGCCGTTCATTATATTTTATAACTTGAGTGTAGTGTTTTTTTAGGTCCAGTAGTTTTAACTGCCACGATCTTGTTTTTCTGTCTTTATGCTGTTCCTGTTTTACATCATCCACTGCTGTTTTTTCTTTACTCTTTTTTATTAAAGTTTTTTTAAGATTTATTTATTTATTTATTTATTTATTTATTTATTTATACAAGCACTGGGCACACTCAGAAGCATGGGAAGGTGAGAGAATTCACCAGAGCCAGAACGGGGAACAGAACAGGCAGACTGACGAAATACACTGCTGAGGGGAGCAGCAGGCGTGGCAGGAGATGTCTGTGCACCATGTGGGACCCTCGCTGCCAGTGGCCGGGGATCGAACCAGTGCTGCAGAGGCTGTGAACTGCTGTTTTTTCTTTCTTTTTTTTTTTTTTTCAAAGATTTATTTATTTATTTATCCAAGAACCTGGGTACAGACCAGATGTGCAGGAGGGTGAGAGGATTCACCAGAGATAGCGTGGGGAGCAGAACAGGCAGACTGACGAAGTACACTGCTGAGGGGAGCAGCGGGCGACAGGAGAGGTCTGCGCGCCATGTGGGACCCTCCCGGTGGCTGGGGATCGAACCGGAGCTGCAGAGGCTGCGGGCAGCTTCGTAGCCCGGCGCTCAATCACTGCACCACTGGGGAGGCCCTACTGTTTTTTCTTAATTGCACAAACATTGCTATAACAAAGGCAGAATTTTTCTTGTCTTTTCTCAATTTATTTGACTGTGGAGTTCCCCTTAAATAACTGGGATTGTTTTTCTTTTTAAAATTTAATTGAAACATATATGATCTATAACTTGCAAATTTAACCCATACAACATGTTAATTTGATATACTTATATGTTGTAATATGACTGCCAAAATGTAGAAATCTTCACTGCACTTAGTTGTCTTACCTCCTTAGTTTAAATCAACCTTAGGCAGTTTTGTCTTCACCTTTGTTTGATGTTTTCTCATGATTAGATTCACATTATGTGCTTCTGACTGAAATACTGCAGAAATGATGCTATGTCTTTCTCAGTGCATATGTTAGGAAGCACAGGATATCAGTTCATCAAAATATTGGTAATGTCCATTTTGATCACTTAGAGTGGCATCCAATAATTCTCTGTACTATAAAGTTACTATTTTTCCTTTGTACCTAGTAATAATTGGTGGCAACATACTTCAGAATTATTTAAATATCCTTTCCTCTTCAAACTTTTTTTTTAAAGATTTATTTATTTATTTATTTATTTATACAAGCACTGGGTACAGTCAGAAGCACGGGAGGGTGAGAGAATTCACCAGAGCCAGAGCGGGGAACAGAACAGGCAGACCAATGAAATACACTGCTGAGGGGGAGCAGTGGGCAGCAGGAGAGGTCTGCTCGCCATGTGGGACCCTCGTCGGCGGCCGGGGATCGAACCGGCACTGCAGAGGCTGCGGGCAGCTTCGCAGCCCAGGGCCCAACCGCTGCGCCACCGGGGAGGCCCTCCTCTTCAAATTTTTGTCTACTATTTTGACATCATCATTGATTTTCTAACTCCATAATTCTTTCTATTGATATATATGGCTTTTGACCAAAAGAAAATCTTTTCCCTTCTCCATCATATATTTATATATCTCAGTAGGGTTTCAGGGATCTTCATTTTTCCAGTGGATCATATATTTATTTTAATGTTCAAACTGTCCCAGATTTGACCACAAGGAGTACCTTAAAGCTAGATCCTATACACAAGGATAATTTTAACCCCCAAATATTATGCCCCTGCCCTAATCAGATTTCTGGGATGCCTCCCCTTGGTGCCAGACAATCTTTTCTCAGAGAACACTCACTAAGCAACTTTAAACATAATGAATAAATCTTGTGAAAAAAATTCTAAGTAGTTTGGGAATTATGTGCTATTTTGAGATCTACTTTATTAATGCAAATATGGATAATTTAAATATCAGACTCATTTAATGCACATTCTTATGATAAGTGAAGTTATTCAAAGTGACTCTGATAACCAATCCAAAATTATAATTTTAAAAGACAAATTTTACATCTTTGGCAGTTTTGTCTTCACCTTTGTTTGATGTTTTTGGCATTCAAGTTCACACTTACACCTAAATTACCAAGGAATATTCAAGTTGTAAAGAAGATACCAAAAATTTGATGTACATCTACTCAGAAACACAGAAGGCTCATCCTAGAAACTCAGTCTAATTTTTCAAAGAAATATTATGAAGTAAATCATTGAAGTTTAACTCTGATATGGAGTACCTTGAAGTAGATATTGTTTAATCCTGTTATTTTACAAAAAGGCAACATAGACCAAAAGAGATGAACTATCACAGAGATAATTACTGGAAATTAAAAAATGTGAATATAGTTTTCCCCATTTCAAGCTAAGAACTATTTTAAATATGTCACAATAGTGAAATTGCTTAGTCCACTAAACGAGTTATTTAGCCCACAGTGAGGCTGAAACATTCAGCAATGAACAATCAACAGGGAAAAACAGTATTGCAGTTACCATTGTCAGAGTAACTTCAGAGGTTATTATATTGAAAAGAAATTCTTTAAATAATTAATTTTGGCCCATGTTAATTAATAGGTAATAGAAGGCTTATGAATACTTGTGCTAGAATTCTTGAGGAAACTTACAGACTTCTTTTTTAAAGATACTCTTTTTCTTAAGATTTATTTTATTTATTTATGAATATAAGAACTGGGGTGTAGGTCAAAGGTCTGGGGATAGGGGTGAGAGGATTCACCATAAACAGCGTGGGGAGCAGAACAGGTGGATTTACTGAAATACATTGCTGAGGGGAGCAGCAGACAAGACAGAGGAGGCCAGGATCAAACTTATGCTGCAGTAGCTGACAATAGCTTGATAGCACTGAGACTTTAACCCCTGCGCCACCAGGGAGGCCCAGAAACTTACAGACTCTTAAGAAGCTATACTTACTTTAGACATAGACATACTTTACTATGTCTAACTTGACCATACAACATGGGACTTTAATTTTTCATGACAGTCATATGCTACCAGTGTGATTCAAACTTACAGGCATAATTAATATTGTTTGAGGCTACTCCATAAACTGTCAACTCATTAAGATTTGTAAGTCTGCCTTGAAAATTATACCAGAAACATTTTCTGTACTGGGGATTGTAATATTGTAATTTATAAGAAATATATATATATATATATATATATATATATATATATATGACTATTGAAATAATCAAAATACATTTCTCCTATATATTTGTAGTTATATGTAGTATTATCCAGGCTCCCACTTCCCGAAAGATTTGGAATTTCCTCCGTGTTAAGAATGATAAAGTTGTGGGCTGCCTGGAGACCCAACTACATTATTAGAGGGTGGAACTTGTAGTCCCTCCCCAGCCTCTAAGGAAAGAAAAGGAACTAAAGATTGAATTCAAATACTAATGGAGCATGATTTAATCAATCATTCATAAGAAATGAAGCCTGCATAAAGATACAAGAAGGGCTTTGGGGGAACTTCCAGCTGGTGAACATGTGAAGACTGGGGGGGCGGAGGGTGGAGAATGGAACTCCTGCAAGAGCACAGATGTTTTGCACCCTTTCCCCACCATGTGCCCTATGTATCGCTCACATCTGACTGTCCCCAGGTTACATCCTTTTGTAATAAATCAGTAATCTAGTAAGTAAATGGGCTTCCTGAGTTCTGTGAGTTGTTGTGGGAAATAAAGTGAACCTGAGGAAAGGCTCACGTAGATTCCAATCTGCCACTGATTGTTCAGAAGCTTAGATAACAACAGTCTGGGCTTGAGACTGGCACCTGAAGTAGAGTGCAGGTGGGAGAGTGAGTCCTTAACCTGAGCACTCTTATGCTGTCAACAGGCAAAGAGTGCCTGGGGGGACATCCTGCTGGTGTCCAAGAGTTACTTGTTGGTGTAGGGAAGTCTACAGATGCTCTCATATGGGACTTGGGTCCAGGAAACTTATTCAGGGATGATGCAATACTTGAGGCTGCTAAACTTCATTTTCTTAAAATAGAAAACTTTTATATATAATTCTATAATTTCCCCTCATTATATAAATTGTCCTCAATTTTTCAGGTTTGTTTCCTTTAATAACAAATTCAAATGGCTGGATTTATATGTAGAGAACCATTCATGATACCGTGCCTCCTTCAATTCTACCTGTCTGGTGTGATCAACTCCTGGATCTTCCATGATTTGAGGCCTTTTCCTGTTTTCTTTCCCGTCTTACTCCTCTAATTAGACTTGAGGCTGAAAGCAGGATGATTAACCCTCTCACGATTATGCTGATGTTTCTCATAATAAAATAAGCAGTTGTGTCTTATAAGTGGATTGTCAGTTATAAACATCAAGGATTATCTTACACTTAACAATACAAAAAAGCTACAGAATTTCCATTTATAGTTACCACAGGGTAAGGTGCATTTCATAAAGTGAGCAACGAGAAGACAAAGAAAGCATTTTATTCTATGTAGTACTGAGAACATAAAATGACCCAGATAGCTTCTTTAGCAGTTACAAATACAAAGTGTCATTTTTCAAAATCTAATAAAATTAATTACTTTGTGAGCCTTTGAATTTCCCATGATAACTAGTGAAAGGAGTAAAGCAACACTGCACATACCCTGAGTGGCTGTTGGAGGTAGTTTGAGGGTATTGTCTAATTTCTCCCAAAGGTAAGTTGGTCGAGGAATGCCTTCCTCTGAGCTGCAGAGCAGGATGACATCGCTGCCGATATCCTGGGATCCTTGGATTTGGCAGTGTGGGGCGGAAGGGGGAACTGTAATAGGAAGAGTAAGCAATAAAGTAAAAAAAGCAAGGCATTTACTATGAGCCAAACGATGATGGAGGAAACATCAATACTTAGTACACTAAAACTCACATAACACTGTTTTTGGGACATATACTAAACTACCCCAGGTGCTCAGTGGATAGCTGTATATTATTTCTAGGGTTTGAATATAGGTGCAGGGCCCGCCACTTTAGCTAGCAAGCAGCAACATGTAAAAGGGGAGGTAGTTTGAGGGGAGGTAGTTGGTTGAGGAATGCCCTTCCTCTGACTGCATTTTCAAGGTATAAGTCTTGCTTTTGCTATGCTTCCTCTAAAGAAGAATTCTTAATATCCTTTATACCACATTGCCTTCAAAAGCATTACTGAATACAACCATTATTTAGTAATTCACAAAATTACTAAAAGGTGAAACATTATGTACATAAACTAAAAGGTGAAAAACAGTCCATAGATGAATGAATGGGCAAACAGAACATAGTATATCCACATAATGAAGTACTACCCAGCCTTAAAAAGGAAGGAAATTATGATACATGCTATAACAGGGTGAAACTTGTGGACAATTATGCTAAGTGAAACAGGTCAGTCATGAAAAAGTCAAATAAGATGTATGATTCCACACATAGGAAGTATACACAGTAGTCATAAGACAGAAATTAGAATAGTGGTTTCTAGCAGCTGGCGGGGGGGTGTGGGTGGGGGGATCTTATTATGGGGTTTGGGTATGGAATAGATGAAAAAAGATTCATGGAGACTGGTTGCACAATTTTGTGAATATACTTAAAACCACTGAACTATAAATATAAAACTTGACTCAGATGGTAAATTTGATGTTATGTGCATGTTACTAAAATTATTATTTTTTAATTACTGAGAGTACTGGTTGAGTTAGGAGACCTAAAGAAGCTAAACTTCACTGCTGTCCATCATTTACGTAACCTTGGAAAAGGTGTTAAATCTATCTGGCCTCCGTATTAAGACCATAATCACTCAAACAAGGATACTTTTGAGAGAAAAGAAAGCAGTGTGAAAACTGTGCCAGGCCACAGGTGAAGGTGATGACTGTGGCAGACCGAGTGAGTGCCATGGACATGAAGAAATAGTGTTTATTCTCACATGTGCTCAAACTTGTGTTTAGTGTTTATAAATCATTGTTAATTCAATCTGCTCTCAACAATAAGTCCTAACTGGCAGAAAATGAAGAAAATTAAGAGGTTACTTTTTTTTTTTTTTAAAGATTTATCTAGGGCCTCCCCCGTGGCGCAGCGGTTGAGCGCTGGGTTGCGAAACTGCCCGCGGCCTCTGCGGCGCCGGTTCGATCCCTGGCTGCTCCCCGGCCACCGGAGGAGGGTCCCACATGGCGCGCAGACCTCTCCTGCCGCCCGCTGCTCCCCTCAGCAGTGTACTTCGGTCCTTCTGCCTGCTCTGCTCCCCGCTCTGGCTCTGGTGAATTCTCTCACCCTCCCGCGCTTCTGACTGTACCCAGTGCATGTATAAACAAAACAAACAAACAAACAAATAAATAAATAAAACATGCCTCTATTAAAAAAAAAAAAATTAAAAAAAAATAAATAAAGATTTATCTATTTATGTATAGAAGAACTGGGGTACAGGCTAGAGGTATGGGAGGTGAGAGGATTCACCAGAGACAGAGCGGGGAATAGAACAGGCAGACTGACAAAATACACTGCTGAAGGGAGCAGTGGACGAGGCAGGAGAGGTCTGCTGTACCAGGTGGGTAGCACCCTGGCTGGCGAGGGGAATTGAACTTGCACCTTGTGCCACCAGGGAGGTCCAAGAGGCTACTTTTGATAGTAATTTATACTACTTTTCTCCACCTTCAGAAAAAAAAAAATCAATTAAGAAGTAAACTTTTAGATAGGGACTTACTGGTGGAGTAAGGGGTTAAGTCTCAGCACCATGAAGGTACCTGCAGCCACTGCAGCAAAAGTTCTACCCCTGGCCAGGGAACTAACCCACATGGTGTAACAGACCTCTCCTGCCTCGCCCACGGCTCCCCCTCAGCAGTGTATTTCAATCAGTCTGCCTGTTCTGCTCCCCACTGTCTCTGGTGAATCCTCTCACCTCCCAACCCGCATCTCTGGCCTACACTCCAGTTCTTGTATGGATGAATAAATAAAAATAAATCCTTAAAAAAAAAAAGAAATAAACTTTTTGAAAGTCACCTGAAATGGAGAAAAGGATGGGGAAATTGTACAAAATATGGTGAGTCAAAATGGGACTTAGAAGAGAGAAGACAGTAAAAGGATACAGGCAAGAAGAATGAAAGAAGTATACATGCTTGACAGGAGATTCGTAAGTAAAGTGAAGGTATCTGAAATATTTTCTGTCACTCACCTAAAACTGTGAGACCGGTGACCCCAATGTTCCTGCCCCCTCTATCTGGAAGGTTGTTGACCAAACATTGGTAGGTGCCTGTATCTGAGAGCTGTGTGTTATTAATAAAGATAGAGACATTGGTGGCTGGCATGGTGCCTGTAAATCCTACCCTACCATGGAACCGGGGGGAACCATCAAACATCTGTCCACCTTGATACAGAATGACCTGCAAAAGGAAGCAAAACAAATAAATTGGCCTCTGCATCCCCTTCCAGCTACAAAACAGTTAACTATCTGGTAGACAGTAGACTGCATCAAACATTAGACATTTTCTGTATGCTGATGCACTAGGTAAGGAAACTATGTTATTGTAATTTGTTATGTAAGGATTTAGAACCCCAAGATATATATGGACATTAAATATGGTGCTGGAGTAAAGAGTCAGTGACAACTCTTAAGATTGGAAATGTTCATGACAGAAAATTTATCAAATATTTTTGATAATAATTTTTGATAGTAATTTATACTACTTTTCTCCACCTTCAGAAAAAAAAAATCAATTAAGAAATAAACTTTTAGATGGGACCTTACTGGTGGTGCAAGGGGTTAAGTCTCAGCACTATGAAGGTACTATGAAGTTTTTCTGAGGCAGAAAAACTTTGCAACAAAGATAGATTATCTTTGGGAATAAAGGTGTAGTCATCACCACAGTTCATTAATTTTCTGAGCATTATTTTCTGTAGTAGGTATTACAAAATTTGGGCCTTTTACATGTAATTGATATAGGCTGTTGGTTACTAGATTCTGTTTTCGTGTACCTACCCTAATTTGAGATTCTTTATGCCAGTATTCCTGGCTGTATTTATTTTTAAATACTTGTAAAATTACCAAATAAATCAAGTACTACCAGCTAATGTCATCCACCTGTGTCAGTCCTTTCCTGTCAAAATATACTGTCTTTTTCTGTCTTGTTATTTCCTGTCAACAGTGTCTTTTGATGAAATTCGCTTTGACATCTGTTAATGTAATATAAAAAGAGGTCTTTTAAAAAGAGGATAACTTCTTATCTCTTATAGTTGACTAATAATGTAGGAATAGGGCTTAAAACAACATGGGTAGTTATAAGTGCCACCTTATTCTAGAAATCAAATATGTACTTAGGAAACTTTCCCATCCACCTTTTCTGAAAAGATTAATATTTTAGAGGTAGCACAGGATGAAACAGAAGTACCTGTTCAGGTTGGTTAGCATTGGAGAGCGGAATGACCATCCAAATGACATTGAGGTTAAGGAGGGCAGCGCTGGTAGTGAAAGTACAGGGCAGGACAGCTGTCTGACCCCGGGCCACCTGGATGCTCCCAGGGCTCTCTGAGACCTCCAAGGAAGCTGCAACACCTTCAGAAGAAGAAACAAAGAGATGCAGTGCTTACCTTTCCTGACCAAATTCTTTCAGAAAAGGTTTGTGGGTCTTATATTATCAATAACGTGAACAGATTGACATGGCAATCTTACTAAACAATTACTTATCAGTCACTGAGACAAAAATCACAAAAATGTCATCCCTTTACCTCTTAGAAACTGAAATTGAAAAAAATATTAGAGGTTACTTATACTATTTGCTAAGACATTATCTGGCAGTTGGTAAGATTCAAATACAACATGGGAGAATTCAATGAATAGGGTTTGAGCAAAACTTGCAACGACAGCAAAAGATGAGATATAAACCATTTTTAAAAGTACCATTACAATTACACTAAAACTAAAGTCATATATATAATGTATATATCTAACAAGACGTATGCAGTGTGTATATACTGAAAACTCTCAAATTATGAGAAAAAAATCAAATTAGAGCAAATAAATAGGCAATGTTCATATATTGGAAGATTTAATAATGGTAAGATGCCAGTCCTCCCTGTGTTATCTATATATTCAGAACAATTCCAATCAAAATCCAAGTGAGATTTTTGTAGATATTGACATACTAATTCTGAAATGCATGGAAAGGCAAAGAAATAAAAATCAAAATAATATTTAAGTAGAAGAACAAATTTGGAGAATTCACACTACCCAATTTCAAAACTTGCTATAGAGTGATAGTAATCAAGACAGTACAGGGGCCTTCCAGGTGGCGCAAGGGTTAAGACACAACTTATGAAGCCATCCAGAGCCACTGCAGCACAAGTTCAATTCCCAGCCAACCAGGGAGCAACCTACGTGGCGCAGCAGGCCTCTCTTGACTCGCCCACTGCTCCCCTCAGCAGTGTACTTTGGTCAATCTGCCTGTTCTGTTCCCCACTCTGTCCCTGGTGAATCCTCTCACCCCCTGCCCCTCTGGCCTGTACCCTATCTCTTGTATGCATAAATAAATAAATCTTTTTTTTTTTAAAGAAAAAAAGAAAGACAGTATGGCAGCAGCTGAAAGTCTAGCCTAACAGGTAAATGGCACATAATTGAGAGTTCTGAAATATACCTTAAGTTTATGGTAAAATGCTTTTTAACAAAGTACAAGACAATTAAATGGAGGAAGGAAGTCATCTGAACAAATAGTATTGGGACAACTTAATATTAATTTGCAAAAAAGAAAAGTAACTCATGCACTTACTTTACAGCATACACACAATAAAATCAATGCAACGTGTATTACAGACTTAAGTGTAATAGCTAAAATCATGAAACTTCTATAAATAATCATTGCAGAAAAGCTTTGCGACCTTGGTTAGCTAAGGTCTTAGATGTGTCATCAGGACTATAAATCATGCAAGAAAACAATAAATTGTGATTTATTAAAAGTGAAACAAGGAAAAAACAAACTGTGTTTCAAAAGATTTAACTAAGAAATAAAAATCCAAGGAACATACTAGGAAAAAAAATTGTAAATTTAATAAAGAATTTGTATAGAGGATAAAGAACTAGTTTCAAAAATAATAAAAAAAATACTTAGATGGGCAAAAGATCTGAATAAACATTTCAACGAGGCCTAATAATAATATGGAAAGACACTATCTTTATTACTCATTAGAAAGTTACATATTAAAACCACAACTGATACCATTACACATCTACTGTAGTGGCTAAAACCAGGGGGGAAAAAGTACTGACAACACTGTAAAGAAACTGGAATCTTCATTCACTACTGGTAAGAGTGTAAAATGGGACAGCCACTTTGGAAAATAATTTGTTTCTTAAAAAGTTGTAACATAAACCTACCACACAAGTCAAAATTTCATTCTTAGGAATCTACCCAAATAAGATGAAAATATATATCAAACTATCACAGATGATCACAGCAACATTATTTAAACCATACTCCCAAAAGGAAAAAATACAGATGTCCGTCAACTGGTGAATGGACAAAATGTGGTATATCCATACAATGAAATACTGTTCAAAAATAGAAGGCCACAATTTACTGATAATGTGCCTCTCAAGAAAATTTTGCTAAGTGAAAGAAGCCAGATGAAAAAGATCACTTTTCATTTATAGGAAATGTCCAGAAAAGACAAATAGAAAGCAAATGAGAGGTTGTATAGGGCTAAAGAGAAGGGAGGATTGTTGTAAATCGGTTCAATGAGACTTTTTTAGGGTGACAGAAAAATTCTTGAATTGGATTTTTGTGATGGTTGTACAGCTCTGAAAATCAACTAAAAATAATTTATTTGTATACTCTATATGGGGGGATTTTGTAAAATGCTGTTAAAACTGTTTAGTAATGCTGTTAGTAGTAATGTTGTTAAAACTCAAGAAAACAGTGACCACAGTCAACTCCTACAAAATCAAAATAAACTGTTATTTCTTCTGAAAAGAAAATCTGGAACTTCAGAACAGTATGGGACTAACAGGCCATTAAGTAGGTCAGGCAGATCCAACAAAGGAAACTATTCTAATCGAGAAAAATACATTAAGATCACATTTTGAAGTGATATTATCTCATTTCTTCCCCCAAAAGCAACACAATAACATACTGCTATGATTATAATTAATTTAAAAAACAAATGTACATAACACCTTCCTTCTATAGAACTGCATGTTCTTCACATATAGTCTTATGATGTTCTCAGGAGTTATATTTGCAGATGAAATGGTTCATAAAATAAGCCATCTGTGATAGGATAACAGTAAGGAAAGTCTCTAAGTTTTAGAAAAGAAAGTTGAAAGCACCCCAAGCATTATGAAGCATAAATGGAAGGCTATTTGATGATGTAATAAGTAGTGAATAGGGAAACAAGCCACTCATAGGATCAAAGAGGATAGGATAGTATATATGGTACAATGATTATCATATGCCATTGGAAATGTTTTATTTTAAGATTTATTTATTTATGCACACAAGAGCTGGGGTACAGGCCAGAGATGCGGGGGTGAGACAGCATGGGGAACAGAACAGGCAGATTGACTGAAATACACTGCTGAGAGGAGCAGCGGGCAAGAGGGGAGAGGTCTGCCTCACCATGTGGGTTTCTCTCTGGGATCAAACTCATGCTGCAGAGGCTGTGGACTGTCCCACAGTGCAATGCTTAACCCCTTTCACGACCAGGAAGGCCCCCATTGGAAATGTTTTTAAGGATAAATATGAAAGACAAACTGGTGACAAACTTTCTATCACTTCATTCTTCACATATTAACACAAGGAAGAAGTGAATGGAATATGCCCCCTTGAACTACCCAGGATCATACATATTCTCTATCCTCATTTCGCTGATTTTGAGCTGAATTCACACTACCTTTGGTAAAAGTCTTTAAAAGAAAAACATGGCCGTTATAAACTAAGGATGAAAAAGGTTGATGGAGAAAACTACTAGTTATAGATAGGATTTAGTAAACAAACTAAGGATGAAAAAGAAAGAGGTACATGGGAGAAAACACCAAAATACAAGATTTACATAAAGGAAGAATAAAAGCTGCTTGTGAAAGTATGGATTTGCAGCTGGACAGCATAGTTTCAAATCTGGCATTTTTGTCTACTTGGCTATGCAGTCACAAACAAGTTACTTAATCTCTGATTCTGTTGCTTCATCTGTAAAACAAGCTTGAATACTAGCATCTCACCATCCAAAGGGCTGATGAGGGCAGGGCCAGATGCTGATGGCTGAAGATAACTGCTACCACTATTTCTATCACTGCCCAATATTGAGGACACACCAACCATCCAGCAAGCCCCCAGAGTGCCATGCATGTATACACACATACACACACATATACACACACACTGATTTAATCCTGCCTATAAGGTATCTATTAACATTTTAGACGAAATTGAGATCCAGAGATTAAAAAAAAAAAAAAAACTCGAGGTCCTATAACTCAAGGTCAATTAAGAAGTAGTAAAGGGTGGATTCAAATCCAGGCAGTTTATCTACAGAGGACATACACTTAACCACCACCGATAACTCAATGCAGAAATCATTCTACAAAACTTGAAACTAATGTAGATTTTCGTGTAAGTCATCAGATGGAAATCCCCTTAACTTTCTGCTTCCAAACCTACAAATCAGCTTAGATCTGCCTCATCATCTTCTTTCTCTGTCCTGGTATAATAGAGGAGCTCACCTAAGACCAAGCCCTCATCTGAGCCTGATTTATATCCCATCCTCTTGGTCTCCTTAGCACCCTTGTCATAGACAGTCCCCTCTCCTGTAGCTTTAACCTCTCCCTCTGCACTGCAACCTTCCTGCAGCATTTAAACACCTTCAAGTAAGAAGTAATGAAATTCCTTAAATGAAATTCCTCACTGCCTATACCTGACAGTCCCCTCCAGGGATTACCTGCTCTCTGGTACTTTACACATGACTTTTTGAAAGAACTGTCTACATTTACTTTCTCCAGCGACTCATCCACCACTTGGTCTTCAATTGACTCCTGCCCCCACCACTTCTTTTTTTTTTTTTTTTTAAGATTTATTTATTTATGCATACAAGATCTGGGGCACAGGCCAGAGGTGTAGGGGATGAGAGGACCAACCAGAGACAGAGCGGAGAACAGAACAGGCAGACTGACCGAAGTACACTGCTGAGGGGAGCTGCGTGTGAGACAGGAGAGGTCTGCTGCACCATGTGGGTTGCTCCCTGGCTGGCTGGGGATGGAACTCGTGCTGTAGAGGCTGTGGACAGCTTCACAGATCATGCCTCAACCCCCTGCACCACCAGGGAGGCCCAGCCCCCACCACTTCTTAAAAAAAAAAATAGTTCTATCTAGGTTTCCCAGGGACGTCCTGGTGGCTTCGTGACTATTGTGCTCATTCTTGGGACACTCAGTAGCCTCTGACAGGGATGACCATCATCCTCTCTTTGAAAAACATTTTCCCTTAGATTCAATGATATAATTTATGATTTACTTCTAGCTTTCTTCTTTTATCTCTAAATACTGCCCAGTCTCTTTTGCTGTATTACCCTTCT